CGATTTGGTTGCTCGAGTAGGCTTTCCCTGCAACATTTTCCATTACGTGATGTAGTCATTTCAATGGGCTGTAGCCACAGACCGTGGTCGGCCCACTGTTTATCTTTTATTGATTATGCCAGCAGGTAACCCCAAGCCAAGCCAAGCCAAGCCGAGCCGGAAAATTTGCCTGATGTGAGTGAGCGCGCGCCTTCAGATTCAATTTAGTCGTTAAATATTTAGATTTTGTTATTGCCGTCGTGGCTCTGCGGTGGATGGTGGAGAGTGAATAGTGGACTATGGACGATGGACGACGGCAACAGGAAGGAATCAATTGGTTTCCCTTTGAGTAACCACGCTTAGTCATGACGAAACGTCGGCACTTCCTCCTGAGACCTCGCCGTGTTCCTTTTGTTGTCATCGCAGTCGCAGTCGTGGGGAGGCGGCTTTTTGTTATTGAGATTTTGTTTTCAGTTTTCTGTTTCTGTTTTATTTGCAGCTAGCAACTCGAATTTTACGACCGGCGATTGCCTTGTTTGTCCGGCTAGCCGGCAGTTGTAAATATGCTGCGGCGGTGAGTCAGGCAGGCGCGCAGCCAAAAGTCGAGTAATTAGCGATCATCGTCCAGGTAAGCCAGGTAGATAACGACTCCTGGCCAAGGCCGTCCTCCTCCGCCCGGTTAGGGAGTTACAAACGCATCAAGAAACAATTAGCAGGGGGATTAGCACATTGACCTAACGGCCGGGCTGGCCGATCATCTAACCCGTCATTTTGGCGGGGAAATAAATGGTGACAGTCATCGTTAGTAAGTTTTTCCACACAGAGAAAAATAAAAATGTAAGGGGAAGATTCCTTTTGCCATGTAATTTACATTATATATGATAATTTTATTTAATTAGCTTCGCCCGATAAAGTTTGAATTCAAATAAATGAAGAATTATTTTTATTATCTTACCTTTTGAATAAAATCGTCAGAAATAAGTTTAAATAAACATGTTAGGAAGACAAAGCTAATAAGATAAGCCTTATATTTCAAATGAATTTTTTTCTAGCACTTTAAGCTTATAAAAAATTATTGCTAAGCCCGAAATGGCTTGGATTAATGAATTCATTTGGCTTATTATTAACCATAAAGATGTTCATTTGATTAATTAAATATTATTGCTAAGCCCGATATAGTTTGAATGCAAGTATTATAGTTTTTTTTTTAATATGTATTATTTTAATTGTCTAACGTCTAAATCGAAGTACCCTTAAAGCCGAACTACAATACTTCTATGTGTTTTTTAATTAAACAAATAAATAGAGTTGTCCCCGATTTGCTTTAATACACATATACTTTAGATGCCTTTGGCCTGACAATTATATATTTTTAAATATTATTGGTACACTCGAATTTATTAGAACTAACTTATTTCTGTTAGCTTTAAAATTAATAATTGTTTGAAAAATCTTACCACTTAATTAAAATACAATAAACAAACAAAATTAACAAAGATACATGGTCTTAGTATGCAAAAAAATAAATTAATTTCAAATAAAATTATTATCTTATACATTTAAGGATATTATTTACAAAATACTTTGCCAGAAAACCGTGGTCCTTTTACATTGGACTTAAGCAGCATAAGCATGGACAATGATTTCTTTTGTCTTCAATTTATAACCCTAATATACCACTTAAATGTTTCTTTGCAGTCAATCACTTTCGATTTGTGACCCTAAGACGTCATCGCGGATTGCAACGAACTGGCGATAGGCGCCCTTGTTGGTTTAGATAAGCGACGTTGGGTCGACCGGAAACCGGACCGGCAAAACCCATACGCTCTGGCTTGGAAAAGGAGAAGAGGGGAAAAAAAGAAAGAAAACGCAACCGAATGCATATCGGAAAGCAGAGCACTCAAAGTGAAATGTCAGCTCATTGTTCGGCGGAAAAGCTAAGCGGTCTTTGATTTGTGGCCGACACTCAGGCCCATCTCATGCATTATGCAGATCTTGTCCAGCTCGAGTTTCAAGTTCAATACAAAGTTCACACCACGCAGCTGTCAGCAGTGATGTACTCTGCGGTCAACGAAAGTGATACCGATTTCGGAGCAATGAAATCTGAATACCCTATCCACAAGTAAGATAGGAACTTTAATCCACAAGTGGGGGGGTTGATCAAAAGACCGTTTTGCCGAAATTTCCGTGTTTCGGTTACGGTTTCAGCTCTTACATTTCATTTACCTCGGAAATCCCGTTACTGTTTTGAAATTGAATCGGTTAATATCGCTTAACAGCTCCGTTAGTTGCGGTTTAGGCCCCATGCCCGAAAAGCAAATAAACACATCTGTTAAATTAATGAAATATGAGCTCAACGTATAATTACCGATGGTTATCCATACCTGTTTACATAATAACTTATACCCTTTGATTGCATCACTCGGATATCACTTGTGCGGGCAAATAAGCCACACAGGCCTAAATGAACAAACAAATTTGGCAACGGAGTGCTACATGGAGTATGCATTATGGAGTGTTTAGGCCTCAATTACATAGAATCCATTAGCCGAAAGTGAAAGAAAGTCGCATGAGGAGCCCTGAAAGATGCCCCTGACCGCAGACCCGTACCGTTTGATTGGCCGCCGCAAGTGCCCCCATGTTTAATTGTCGAAACCAGTTAACTAAACAGCTCACTTGATCTGCCGCAGTCACACGCGACAAACACTGTTGTCGCAGGTGTCACAATAGGAATTAGCGTAAACTGTTTTAACGCCAAACAAATGGACATTTGAGCCGTGAGCCATAATCATATGTATATGCGACCCGCCTTGGGCTTTGCCCAATGGAGTAGCTGTGATGCCAAAGGTACCACTTTTGGTTAAGGCAGTGTGAAGGCTGTATGTACTTAGGGTACACTTGAGTTACAACTGCAATCAAAGTAATAGTACTGGGTCAATCTATTTGTGTATTTGTGCTTTAAGTGCAATGCTAACTTACCAATAAACAAAGTTAGGTTTAAAAAGCCTTTGTTACTGTTTCAGTTTTTCAAGGAAAATGAAAACTTTTGCTAGTTCCTTAAAATTCACTTTTCAATATACTGATGTAAATCATTTTACAGCAATTCAAGAAAATATCCATAAATCCTCCTTCATCTGCACTTTGATAGGAATAAAAATGTTTTGAATATCTGAGCTTTTTTTATATTGTAACATTTCATTTTTATCAATTTTTTTTTGAAAATATGTTAAAATGTTTCTTCCAAACTATTATTGTTTGCGATTTCCATAAGCTAAAAAAGTAATATTATTTTGACCGTAACTGTATATACATAGTATTAAAAGTTCTTATCCAAACTCAGTAAATTTAAGTCTCAAGCATATTTGATTTTTTTCAGGCATATCTAATGGGTCACAACCATACAATTTCCCTAACAAAATACCGATCGATCATTTTTAAGTATAGATAAGGTTTATGCAGTGATGACAAGTACCGGGGAGTGAAGTTAGGTACACTATTCCGGCCAAGCCACATCACTGGGTAATCGCTCGGTGAGCTGTCCAGTACGTGAGTCGCGGCCGGTGGGTCAATGCCGCCAGTGGGGCAGTGGAGCGGTCCATTGATGAAACGGAGTAGAAGAAACGGAGTGCACAGCAGTTGCCAGCTACAACCCCTTGCGCAGTTGTTGACGAGCTATTAAAATGCCATATAAACAAACAGAAAGCTCTCCACCGATCCAGCGATCCGCTGAATGAACGATGAGAGCAGTGGAGGATTGGCGGCTGAGCTGTCGATTGTCTTTCAAGTGGGTAAACATAAACAGCCGTCTTCTATGGGTATGCAAAGGTACCCCCGAGTGGGTACATACATACCCGTACCGCATGCCTGTTGTTGGCAACTGAGTGCCAGTACTTGGGTCAGGCCGGCCACATCCTAAATAAGCAGCCGCCGTTTTCATTAGGCAACAGGTTATTGCAATTCAGCGAAAAAACAACGGCGACCGACGACAACAATGCGACGAAAAACCACGTCGCAGCCAGACTCAGAGCCAAAAAAAAAAACAGTTTGTAAGTAAGTAGCTCCCAAAAATTTATACACTGCTCGAAACCAATTGTGTTTTATGAATGCATTGTATGTGATGTGCATAACTCTAAACGGCACGCGAATTGTTCATATTGTTAGGCTCATTGAGAGTATTTATCTTGCTTTATCATCTTTTTTATGTATGATGTGCCTTGAATGGGCAAGTAATTTCTCAGTCTTCACAAATTCTATGCGAATTATCAGATGTCAAAGCCATGAGTTGTCAAAGTCTTGAATACGGCAATATGAATCACTGGCTTGTTAAACAGTTGAACTTCTGTTACTCAAACTTATTGTTAGGCAGACATATATTAGGCATACGATTTTATAAGATTCGGGAATGTTCTTACTTTTCAATTAAGGAACAATTATTTTGTACCAAAACAAATTGGTTTGCTATCACTTTAAAATAATAATAATACTTGGTATAAACTACTTTGGGTGAGATCAATATTTTAAGAACTAGCCAGTTTCAAAAAGAATCTTAAATGGCTATACTAAATCATTTATTTTTTAATTTTGTACCAAGGACTTTTGATTTTTAGAAGTTCAACTGTATGCGGACTTTACCATGGGTTTTTTTCTATAGGACAAGGTCAATTTCACTTTCTTCCGCCGCTCGAAGCTTAAAATTTAATCGCATCTTGAGGTTGTTTCTGCGATATTCGCCCACTGTGCTGTTCGTTGACAGTTTTGGATAGCGTTCTCTCTTTCGCTAAGCTGTTATAATTGCTCAAATTGCCGTGGCAGCGTGCCAACCGATTGGATTCCGGGGGGGGAGGGTTGGGGGTAGCCCATGAAACCACGAGGAGTGGGGGCGGCGGCGGCGGCGGCAATTGATATTACGCGCAGTGTAAGCCGGCAGAGGCAGAAGCGCCGCTGCTCTGGGCGCTCAGGTAAGTTAAGTTAAGTTAAGGTAAGGTAAGGTAACTGGCATGCAGGTGGCTCACCGGTTGGAGCCATGGAGCTCTGCTCCGCCGCCAAGCCGCTCAAATGAGTGGCAAGCCCTGCGAGCGGCGGACGCATGCGCAGTCGATAAAGCACATTCGAATCGAACGCTAGCAGCGGTACCGTACCGCCAGACTCGATTGCAGTTCCCATTCATATCCATTCATACGGTTTCGGTTTCGGTTTCAGTTTCGTTTTCAGTTTCGTTTTCGGCGTTTTTTGAAAGCTTTTTGGTTGGAAAGAAAGTGCTGTCTTTCTTTCCTCAGTCGCCGATCCTTGGGCAGCTTTCATTTTCATTTTCATTTTTGCTTCGATCGATCGCGAACCGGTTGGGCTTCTGATCGGTTACCCAGTACCCAGTACCCAGTTACTTAATCCCAGCGTGCGGCGTTCATGTAACCATAATCCTGGTCTGGTCAGCATGCGACGGGAGCGAGTGGAGCGAGTGGTGCTGCTGTGTCTGACGCTGCTCGGATTGCTGCAGGTGTCCAGGGCCACTGTGCGTCAGTCGCGCGAAATCATCATCACAGATGCGGTAGGTGTTGTTTCTCAGCAGCACGAGGAGGAGGTGGAGGCGAAGGCGAAGGGGGATAATCCCCAGGTCGGTGCGCCAGCGGAATTCCTAATTAACCAAATGTCACAACGCACGCGTCGCATGGCCTCCAAATGTCAAGCGTTTAATGTGCCAACAATTTGTGTTTGCATTTCGGATTTTGGCCCGCGACTGTTCAGCCTTCGCTTCCTGCCTCCGTGTGGTTGTCCCAATTTGTAGTTACCATGGTGTCTATAGATACCTTTCACCTGTTGCCCTTCCTTATCCGTTGCAGGTGCGGCGCATCCAGAACGACGGCTACAACGTGGAGCGCCACTCGGTGACGACGAAGGACGGCTACGTGCTGACCCTGCACCGCATCCCGCAGGTGGATCCCGAGCTGGGCACTCTGCTGCGGCGCCCTGTTGTCTTCCTGCTCTCCGGATTGTACGCCTCATCGGATGTGTGCGTAGTGCTATATACTTTGTTTATCATATGCAAATAGTTACTTCCGCTTGCGGTAGATAGGGAGCATAAAGGGAATTCCGCGGCAAATCAAGTGTTGTCTAGAGCAAAATTGTAGAATTTTTTCCAACAGATTGATTCTTTTCCGCGCTAGAACGTTCTTACTTATCCCTTCCTCTGTGTGCTACCAAGAAAACGATCTATAAAGTTTAGAGTAGCTGGAATCCGCAAGCATTACTTTCTAAATATTTGAACAAATACACCCATCCCATTGGTGGGACATTTTAATAAGGACCTTTTGGCTAAAATTAATGACACCTTACAAAATTTAGGAGGACATGCTATTGATACGAAATTAGCCCAGTCTTACACTTTCATTTACTAATCAAATCCCATTTGTTAATAGGCTTGGAAAGTGCAAATTGTGATAATTACAATTAATTAGACTGTAAGAATAGGTATAGTAAATCCAAGTAATTTATACTCTAATTCTTGTATTATCTGAAAATTTAGTTTAAATTGAAACCAAGTTAAAGCTAAATAGCACCCATTCATAATTTGATAGTTCCCATATTTATTCAAATATTTTAAGTATTAAATAATGCAATTTAATGTGCATTGATAACCAGATATTTATTTATACTTTTTACGTTTTACTTTTATTTATTTGGTATGATTTAGTTATAAGATTTAAGAGTTATCAGAGGCTTTTTAAGCCTGTAAAGCTAGTAACCATTTAGATAGGTATTACTATGAACTAAAAAAATAGCCCATTAATGTAAGGTATCAATACCGCTTACCTCTGCTACTCCAGATGGCTCCTGAATGGACGCGAGGACTCGTTGGCCTACCTCCTGTGGCGGGCCGGATACGACGTGTGGCTGGGCAACAACAGGGGCAACATCTACTGCCGGAAGAACATGTGGCGGAACACGACGGAGCGCGAGTTCTGGGACTTCAGCTGGCACGAGATGGCCGTCTACGACATGCCCGCCCAGGTGGACTACATTCTCCGGAGCACCGGGCAGCGGGCAATGCACTTCGTGGGCATCTCGCAGGGCGGCACCGTCTTCCTGGTGCTCAACTCGATGCTGCCGCAATACAATGCCGTCTTCAAGAGCGCCACCCTGCTGGCGCCGGTGGCCTATGTGAGCAACACGAAGAGCGGGCTGGCCAAGGTCATCGGCCCGGTGCTGGGCACCCGCAACTATGTCTCCAAAATGCTCGAGGGCGTGGAGATGTTCTCCACGAACAAGTTCTTCAAGAAGTTCCTCTCGATGACGTGTCTGGAGAACGAGAAACCGCTGGTCTGCATCAGTCGGCTGTGGCCAGCCGTTGGCTACGACACCCGGTTCCTCAACAAGACCCTGCTGCCCGACCTGATGGCCAACTTTCCGGCGGGCGGATCGGTGAAGCAGCTGATGCACTACTTCCAGGGTTACGTGTCCACACGCTTCCGGCAGTACGACTACGGCCCGGAGCGCAACTGGCTGCACTACCAGCAGCTGGAGCCACCGGACTACGCGCTGGAGAACGTGTCCACGCCAGTCACGGTCTTCTTCTCGGAGAACGACTACATCGTGGCACCGGCGGACATCTGGCGCCTGCTCACCCGGCTGCCCAACGTGGTGGCCGTGTACAAGGTGCCCTGGAAGCGCTGGAACCACTTCGACTTCATCTGCGGACTGGGCGTCAGGGAGTACATCTTCGACAACATTGTCCTCTCCATGAACCGCTATGAGCAGCGGCGACGCTGACGGAACGCAGGAGACGGGAGGATCAGGATGACGGGCCGGGAAAGGTCACAGCCAGAACTATCACTAGTGCCAAAAACAAATTGTAGAATTACGAAACTGAGTCTGCGGTTGATTCGGCTAGATCAACTTTGGATATATGTACTGATTAATAAATAAATAATTTATAGTTTAGACTAAATAAGAATTTGGTTATAACTTGGCTTGGAAAGCAATTGGAAAATGGATAGTTTTTTCTTAAGCCGTAACTATAAAATTAATTTGTTCTTGTAAGAAGCATTTTTGAGTTTGTATATTTATTTTAAATTTTGAAGAAATTATTGAAACAATTTTTACAAACATGATGGACCAACCTATGCTCTGTGCTCTATGCTCTCGTTAAAGACACAAGGTTTTTTCCACGCGCCCATGAACTACGTACATTAGTAGACATCCCAAACTATGAAATAAATAAAATTACTTTATGGTGTGACAGCTTAGTCTGTGAATCACAATGGGGAAAAGTTACAAATGTGTATATATTTACAATTTTTTGCAAGAAACATATGTTCAAGTTACTCATTTGCCATATAAAGTAAACGGAAGTATAGGGAATTCCAATGATTAACATAGTAGAAAATGGTTTAAAATTGTTGTAAAATAATAATTTAAAATTACTTCGGTATCCCATTTGGACCTTCTCAAAGTCGTTAATAATTCTGATAATTGGTTGATTGATCACTTCATTTACGGTCTTAGGGAAAATGATGTCCATGTGGTACACTTCTGCAAATAACTTCTAAAATAATGGTTCGATTTGAAACCAACATATAAACTTATACCGTTCAATAACTGGCGTCAAAAATTTCTCAGAGTGACATGGCAGACTTTAGCGAGATGTGGACGTTTGAATGGGCGTAGCTGCATTAAATGGACATTGCGTAGCTAGAAAGAACATTTAAAATTCCAAATCTCTAGCTTTTATAGTTTTCGAGTTTTGACGTCCAAGGGACAGACATACGGACATGTTTCGGAAACGCTTGCTCTCTAAGATACAATTCTTTTGGAATATTTGTATTTGATAAACTTTGACGACATACAAACAAAAAAACTAACATTATGTATCAAGTATTTTAAATAATTCATTTCCTCTTTTTAACTCTTATAATAACAAGTTTTCTACCTTGTCTTCCGTTTTCTTTTACTCTCAAATTGGTCGATAACTTTGATAACTGGTTGATTGATGACCGTATCTACGGTCTTGGCGAAAAGAAAGTCCGTGTGTTCCCAGGATGAGTCAGCAATGTGATGCTTGACCACGTTGTTCAACTTGCTAGCCAGTATTAGAACATCCTTGGGAGCGGTCAGTTTGTCCCCATCACTGAAGTAAATGTGAATGGGCGACATGGGCCGCACTTTTTCCAATGGATAGTCCGGAGGCGAGCCTTGCTTGTAGACTTTTTGGTTTTTTTTGGGTCCAAAGTCAAACGGGCGGAATTTTCCAGATTTCCTGATCTGCAAAAAGTGCTTTGGCTGACGCGAAGAAATTCCGCCGGGATGCGTTGCCATCAGAAAAGGAATGATGGTCTGAAAAATTGAGAGTATAAGAAAGTAAATAAATTTAATTAATTTAAGAAGCAAAATTAATTTAAATTAAATTTAAAATATAGTTTTTTACCCACCTGGTTCATGTTCTTGGACATACTGTTGGTGATCAAGAACAAAGATGTGCATAACTTCTTCAACTTTGAGGGTTTGCACAAAAGCGCTAATACGAAATTCAGTACACCGGTGTGGCCAAAAAAATTGCAGTCCTTCATCTTCATAATGACTTTCTCGAGCATGTTGAGCATCCCGTCCGTGGAGTGGTGCATGAAGGCGGCGGGGGCCAGTAGGTTGGCGGTCTTGATCTTTCCGTTGTACTCCGGCCTCATGCTGAGCAGAACCATCAGCGTGGTGCATCCTTGCGAGTGGGCAACAAAGTGCAGCGCGCTGTGGCCCGTGGTCGCCAGGATGTAGTCGATCTGGGCGGACAGGTCCTCCATTCCGATCTCGTGCCAGCTAAAGCGCCAGAAGGCGTCCTGGGAGGCCTTCAGCACCGAGTGGCGCTGGGAGTAGCGCACGCCGCGGCAGTTGCTCAGCCACACGTCGTAGCAGGCATCGGCCAGCAGGAAGGGCAGGGCACTCCTGGGACCGGTCATCAGGAAGGAGTCCGCCGAGGCGGTCAGGCCATGCTGGATGAGGACGGCCGGCTTCACTCTGACTCCGCTCTTCCGGCAGCGCTCCGACGATGGAATCCGGAAGTTGTCCAGGATGTAGCCATCCCTGGTGAGCACCGTGTGCGTCTCCACCGGATAGTTGTACGTGGCTATGATGTGGACCTACGAACACGTATTTTGCAGGTCTCATCTCCTTAAAGATTGTCATCTACTAACCCCAGTAAAAACCTTTAGGCGGTAGTCATTGGGATGGCCCGTGAAATTTTGAAGTCCAAACTTCACCTTCTTTTCAGCACTGGCTATGGCGATGCAAACGCAGGCAGAAAAGATCACAAACTTCATTAGCCACATCTGGAGGAGTTTTAACATGGTTTTTTCTACAGACAAATCAAATGGAGAGCAGAACTAATCCGAATAATCGGTATGCATTAAAAGTTCATTTGTAAAAGCAGAAAACTGAAACCATGTAATAATCATCTTTAAAAATAAATTTGTTCCTTCAGCTTCAGATTCATATAAAAAAAACCATTAATCATTTCCAAAGAAGTATTACTTATAAGTCAATCTTAATGCCAACTTTTATCACAAAAAAGGAACGGAAGCGTAAAAGAAAGTGCAAAATTTAATTGCTGCACATATCGCTAAATAAGCATAAATATCTTTGAGCATAATTACAGATTAAAGCATTTCTTTATTGCATTTAAAATTTATTTCCCCAAAGTCAATGGACAGATAAACACCAGGAAATGCACGAATGTTTATAAGGGAATTTACAAGGGCTCATGGGTTAAGTTGATCGAACTGCTCGAAAATTCTGATAATCGGTTTGTTGATCACTTCAGCGACGCTCATAGCGAGCAGGAAGTCCATGTGGTGCCAGGCCGTTCCCTTGATGCGGTGCATCACAGCCATGGGCAACTTGGAGGCAAAATTCAGAATATCCTCCTTGTTGGTGGAGGTGTCCTGGTCACTGTAGAATATGTGCACCGGGGTCAGGGGACGGATGTTGTGCAGCGGGTAGTCGGGAGGTGATGCTCTCCTATAGATCTTCAAGTTCGCCAGGGTCCCGAAGTCGAACATCCTGAACATTCCGCTGTCCGTGAGCTGAATGAAGTGCTTGGGCTGGCGCGAGGAGATGCCCGCCGGGTGTGTGGCCATAATCAAAGGAATAACACTCTGAAAATTCATGTATTTATAAGCTTCCATATGCTCCAACTACTTGTCTGATTTCTTATTTGATTGTTACTTCTTTAAGAAACCAACACAACTGAATCACTTGGCTAGTGACCACTTATTTACTAGATTTTTTGATCACCCTTACTGTATAACTCATTTGCTTCAAGCAAGTTCTCCAGTTCCTATGATCATTTTTGAACATTTACTTGTTATATCCTTGCAGAGAGTATTATAATTTCAGTCAAAGTTTTATAACGCATTTGCGACCCTATAAAGTATATATAAACTTGATCAACATCACTAGAAGAGACAATCTAGCCATGTTCGTCCGTCCTAACTAAATTTATCTCTCAGTTTTAAAGCTATCTGTTGTAGGAGTACATAAGTCGAAACAAACCCGATCGGACGACTTTAACATATAGCTTCCATAAGAATAATCGGCGAAAAAAAAGGAAAACGAAACTGTTTCTCAAGTTTTTTGGTTTAGTTCTTCGAGATATAGAAATTGTTTATTATTTATGAATTATGTTTTAAATCTACTTAGAATCGGACAACTATTATTATTTAGCTTCCTAATTTTGAATTTTTATTTTAAGTTCTTTTGGACATAGTAATGGTTTAAAAATTCAGAATTATGCTTTCAATTTTATTCAAATTGGAGAACGATATCATATAGTAGCCATAGAAACGATCTAGCTAAAAATCATTAGAGCTTCAATGTTTTTTAACATATACGCACATAAATCTAAATTTAGATGTTTCTAATGTATTTTTGCAATAGAGAAGGGTAAATAAACTGCCGAAGTTGTCTTACTTTCTTGTTTTTCATTGAAAAGCGAGTGAACTCGAACTCTAAAACTCTATTTTCCAAACTTTACCTACTACTACCTATCGAAGTAATGAAAGTATACTAACTATTATTTTTCCAGTACTCACTCTGTTCAGGTGGTCGGAAACCTCTCCGTTGCTGAGCATAAATAAGGCTGAGCACATCACCCTCACAGCGAACCGGCTACACATGGACCCCATGATGCCGTTTAGAATCTTGTCGTGGAACATGAACTCACGGTCGGGCATCACCATGATAAGGCTCCTGAGCAGGGTCTGTCCCAGCGTGGACGTGTGGCGCATGAAGACAGCCGGAGCCAGCAGGATGGCGGTCTTGATCAGCTGATTGTACTCCGGCCGCATGCTGAGGAGCACCACCAGCGTGGTGCAGCCCTGCGAATGGCCCACGTAGTGCAGCGCTCTCTGGCCCGTTCTGGCCAGGATGTAGTCTATCATGGCGGCCACGTCCTCCATTCCGATCTCGTGCCAGCTGAAGCGCCAGAACGCTTGGTCGTTGGGGTCCAGCGAGACGTGGCGTCGGGAATAGCGGGTGCCCCGCGAGTTGCTTAGCCACACGTCGAAGCAGGCATCGGCCAACATGAAGGCCAGTGCGTCCCGTGGTCCGTTAACCAGGAAAGTATCCGACGAGGCAGTCATTCCGTGCTGGAAGAGAACAGCGGGCTTTGGTCCTGAACGCATGCAAAACATCGAGGTCGGAATGCGAAAGGCACTGAGCAAGTATCCATCTCTGGTGAGCACAGTGTGTATCTCCACCGGGTAGTTGTGCGCGGCTATAATGTCCGCCTTGGAAAAGAGGATTAAGGATTAAGCACTGATTGCAGTTTACTTACAGAAGTTATGCCGCTGGCAATGTCCAGCCAGGCACATAGAATCACAAACGTTAATTGCTGCATCTGGGGAAAGAATAACTTAATACTCTCAATGGAATAAGTCCATAGAGTGCATCTAATTTTAAAATTACACAGCGAATTCCTCAGTTAAGTGGAAAGGTAACAGTTTAAAGTTAGGTATTGCAAAATAAATAATCTTTTTCGATCAAGGACTTTTCTGTATTTACACTTCACATTCCATTCTCGTACTTTGAATCCGTCTAGTTATTTACACAATTTGTTGTCTAACTGGGCGTCCCGGCGGGAACGGGGCCCATCTTTAGGTCTATGAAGCGTCGCAGGGCCAGCGCCTTGCCGCCCACCAGCGAGTGGTTTAAGTTGGCCAGGAGGGATTTTGCTTGGGGCAGGTCGTTCTGCAGAGCCAGCGCCACTGCCAGATTGTACCGCACCACGTTCTGGGCAGCGTCCACCGACTTCAGCTGCCAGTCACGCGTCTCAAAGTCGAAAGCGTTCAGTGTGCCCACGAAGGTGGGGTCCAGATGGTCGCGTGCCTCGGCTGCCTTGTCCATCAGCATCAGCGCCTCTCCGGCGTACATGTGACCCAGTAATCTGAAAGCAGGCAAGACGTTCAGGCACCACCAATCGGATTTATAGACAAATGCTTAATACTTGTGTGCATCGGAGAGACGTTCGCAGGCCAGCAGCTGTTCCGCCATCTCCAGGGCGGTCACATGGTCGCCCAGACGCAGGGAGACGAAGCTGTGCGCCGCATAAATGGCAGCTAGCATGTTCTCCAACGACTCCAGGCTAACTGGCTTCGAGGGATTGCAGAAGTTATTGTCTTGCGGATGACGCCACGACTCCTGAGTTGGATCCTTCGGTTCGGGAGCCTCCACATCCTCCGAGGGGACCGCCGACATGTGAAACTTGGTCCTGTAGTGCTGCGTAAGGGTCAGGGCACTGCGTAGGCACAATGCGGCGAACTCCAGTGTGGGCTCAGGCACTCCAGCGGACTGGGGACTATGATTAAAGTTGTAGAGTTATTAAGATTAAGAGTCACTATAGAGCACTCACGCATATGGCTTAGTCGCGGGCGTGGCTCCTGCCTGCGACTGACGATCCTCCTCCACTAGTTTCTATATAAAGATTACATAATTATAGGTCAATTATTTCCTGCTTTCTTAACATATTGTGCTCAATAAAAGTATCTATCAACTCACCGCTTCGTGCTCCATAATGCACGCCTCAGCCATGCGCAACCAAAGACGCGGATTGCTGTGGAACTGCTTGACGGGCACCAGGAAGCACTGGAAGGCCTCCTTGGGACGGCGCAGGTGCAGCATGGCCACGCCCAGGTTGTAGAGGATCTCGCAGGAGCGTGCCGAGCTCATAGTTTGCAGGGTGCTCTGGCGCAGATTCCGCGCCAGCTGCTGGTCAAAGTTGAGCGCATTTTGAAAGAACTTGGCGGCGATGGCATAGTGTCGAACTCTCAGGTGAATCACTCCCATGTTGTTGGCGATGCACGTGCTCAACTGAGGGGTCACATTGCTGTGGAGACAATACAATTAGCATTTCTTAAATGTCAAACACACAACTAATGCTCACCCAGCCTGTGTGCATTCGTTGTTGATGCGCATCAGCTGCTTGGCCGCCATCTGGAAGTCCTTCATGATGTAGTACTGCTGCGCCTTCAAAGCAGCGTACTCGGGCGTGCCATCCTCCTGGATGACCACCGGCTTGCGGTTCAGGACGAGTGTGATGAGCTGCAGAAGCTGCAGACTGCCGCCCAGACCGGCCACTGTCCCCTCCACAGAAGTTCCCACTGGCGTGGCCACCACTGTGCTGGGCGTGGCCGCCTGCGGAGAAGCTGTGGCGCTGCCAGCCGGCTCCTCGGTGGGATGGCTGCTGGGCGCAGTGGCCACCAGGTTGAGCTTGTACTGCAAGTAGTCCAGAAAGGCCTCGGCGCGGTTCAGCTGATTGGTGGCCAGCAGAAGCTGCAGCTGCAGCGTGGCCACCAGCGCCGCCATAGCCTTCTCCAGCGCCTCCAGTCGAGCCACCAGAGGCACCAGCTTCTCCAGCGCCGTGCCGAACATGTGGCGGTGGTAGTAGATGACCGCCCTGTTGTACCGGGCCACTGTGGCGGTGGCAGCCCCTTGCTTGAGGCTCAGGCTGCCGGACGCCTCTCCCGGGGCATCGGTAAGGGCCTCCAGCTCCTTCAGCAGGGCGGCGTGCTGGGTGCAGCCCGTCTTGTGGTAGCTGACCACCGCCCGGTTGTGCCGCAGGACGGGACCACTGCTCTCGCCCAGCGTCTCCAGCTCCTGGAGCAGCTCCAAGCAGCGATCGTACTCCGAGCTGAAAGGAGCAGAATAGCGGTTACGGGTGCCATTCCCGGCGTATGCCATGTGTCCACTCACTTGTTGAACTCCTCGTGCGCCTGGCACAGCAGACTGTAGTTCTCGTCCTCGCCGGCCTGCGTTTTGGTGGGAGAATCCGCCGAGTCCATGCCAAAAATAAATAAAAACAAAAAACCAACTCCGATTAATCGCTGACACTTTGCTGGTGTTGGGAAGCGCGTGTGCCACCACGAAATCAGTGCTGGAAAGTGTCGCACAGAGGAAATCACAGTTAAAGAAGAAGAGTTGGCGGTTCTTTTTTTGTTTTTAAAAAAATTGTAATTTCTCCTAAATGTTTTCCTTAATACATCTGATTCATTATAAAAATACTTATATGTGTCTTTTTTCTTTAATTTTGTGGGCAAAAAAGTGGGAACTAAAAAATCTTTGAGATACTTTAATTCATCTTTAGTAGTTGTTTGCTTAACAAACTAAAATCGCAATCAAACCATTGCTATCCAAATTATATTGGTTTGTTTTATTTTTATAATGAATCAATTATCCTCGTCAATTTAACTTCTTTAATTTTATATGACTAGTTTGTATTTCTTGTTCTTCTAAATAATTCAATAAAAACACTTTCACAATTGTGTCGATTGGAAACTGTAAACAGTTACTGTCTTAAAATTATAATTGTCTGTAAAATATATTTATCTTGCAGGAGACGATAACGAACAAACATTTGTATAAACAAATTGGTTGGGAAATGTTTTCCTAATATTTTCTTGAACCTTATCGCCTATTAAAAATAATTTCACCAAAGAAAACATTGTAAACAAGAAACCCAATGCAACAGCGCTTTGTATCCATCAGGAGAATTCTGGAGATTGGCCAAGCTGTTGACTCATATCGGAATATTTGCATTTTTGCACTTTGATAAAGCTTTGTCCACCCCGCGCACTGTGCAAATAATATCGGCAGTCGCTTATTTTTGAATTATTTTAATTTGATTCGAAGTACAATATTATTCACTAATCTGTTTCAAAATATTCAATAATTTGCATACATTTAAAGGGATCGGATTTCGGGGTCAGGATAGCTCCCTTATTTATTTGCTGCTTCATTACCGCTGCAATGGGTCAAAACGAAGAAACTTAGGATAGGGAAAACGGGGGAGGGACAGCTCCCACTTCCGAGACTCATTTAGCGAGGGGCGTGGTAGGCATGTCTTATGTACACTATTCGTAAATATCTGTATTGTATATAATATATATGTATGTATATTGTTATGTATACCATATAAATCTGAATTTAGCATTAAAAATTCCCAATGCTGGTTTTAACTAGTCCCCGGGCGGGGGTGAGAGGGGCTCAACATTAACTGAGCAGCAGCACATCCGCCTGGCATCGCATCGCCTAATAAACACATCCCTTCTAACTCCACCCTCGCTCCTCTACTCCTCTGCTCCTCCTCCAATCTGGCCAAGCACACACATTCACACGGCTTCCCTAAAGACTTCGTAGCGGGTTTGTTCGTTCGAGTTTTTGCTTCATTGCATTGCTAGGTTATGGGTTTCGATTGCTCCTGACTCGCTGCTTATGTGTTGCGAATCTTGCCGGGCACGTAGTTCTTATCGATGACGTTCTCCTGCAGGAACATATGCAGGCAGCGCTCGTTCTGCGCCAGCGGATGTCCGGCTATCTTGTTGATAAAGCCCTCTAGTCCCTTGCGCCGCTCCTCGATGAAACTCTCGTCGAAGATCCCCTCGTCGCCGCGGAAGGGCATCTGGCGCTTCCAGGCTTTTCCCGGCAGTGGGGGCACTACGATCTGCGGGAATATTTACTTGATTAAATAATGTTGATGCGTACATCGGAGCTTCCGTTTTCACTTTCACAGATAGTGTCGGAATTCATACTGCCGTAACTACTCAAGGGGTTTGTTAGAGATAAGTAACCAAAACGTAATGACACTTTAAGCCACCACAGAAATAAATCTAATTTTGTTTCAAGTGTTTCGTCTATTTGTGTTTTACCCTATTGTTTGTACAACTTTATGTATAAATCGATTTTACTTGGTGACGTTGTAATATAAACGAGTGGCTCTACATCAGCGAAAAAATAACGCAAGTCACAATAGCGTTTAAATATTAATACTAATTTCATGCTAAGTAGTAAAAATGAGTTTTAGATGGGCAGTTTGTCAGGCTGTTGAAATTATATGATAATGACTGCGATCAGATAAAAGACTTCTTTAACTATCCAATAACTTCTGTTAAATAAGGGGTTTCTTTATGTGAAATAAGATTTCGATAATGTGGTCTAAATTTATAAAATTTAAACTCTGTGATTTGGGCAGAGTTCTTGAACTCTGTAGAGATTTGTTTGATAACTGTGGCCGAAAACAGCTCACAACTCAAGCAGAAATCCATAAAACCATCTAAAAGTGAAAACCGAAACACTCCGGATGTTTTCCTGGTCATCGTACCTTGCTGTCCCGCTCCAGTTCATTTCGTAACCACTCGAAATCGCTGTAGCGCCTTCGCACGCTGGACTCCTTCACCTTGAACACGGGCAGATTGGTCTGGAATGCAGAAATGGTTAATTGGATTTAATGGGAGTCTTCGGGGGGGACTAGGACTTAGGTGAGGTGCCCGCATGCCGGGTTTCCGTGACTCAAGCCCCGAATCAGTGCCTTGCACTTGTGACTAATGTTTATCGCCCGGTTCGCTTTATAGGCGTATCACCCGCACACACAAACACACACACACACACACTTTAGTACTCGTACGCAAAGCGAGACAAAGTAGCACGTATGTATGTGTGGACGACACGAATTCCAGCGATAATCATTGGTTTTCGGGGCAACTTGGATGGAACGCCCCATTGAAGATCACTCACCCGCATCCGGACCTCGTAGTCCGTGTAGCGCTTCTTGCCCGCCGCCATGGTGGTCAGCGGATTGACCACGTCGATCTCCAGGAAGTTGGCGGGCACGGCGTAGGCATCGTCCAGCGTTTGCTTCTTCACATTCAAGCGGCGGGTGGCGTCGGCGGTTCCATCGGACTCAACCATCATAGTGGTAATGCCAGGGGCTCCGGATCGGCAGAGATATAGACGCCCCTTTTATCGGATGCAAGAAACGGGTTTTGCACTCTGTGCAGTTCTTTGTGTTCGTTGTCGATGGCTCTTTGTGTTCGATCCTCCTCCGTTGTGTTTCTCTCTTTCGCTTGCCCTACGTTACACTCGATTTTCTGGGGGTTCCCAACGGCCGCAGCGTGTAAACAACTATTATAATTTAATTAAAATTGTTCCATTAAAAAACTTTCTAAAGGTGGAGAAACATCGATATAACATCGAAGACATCCATGTTCCATTACACCGTCAAAATCGATGTTTGGCAGGGCACTATCGATGTTTTTCCATCTCTAAAATGCAATTTGATGTTTCAGAATCTAATTTTCGAGTTACCCAAATAAAGGAAGTTAAACAAAAACAAAAATGTAATTATTAATCGAACATTTGAACTAAGTTGAGTAACCGCATATTTTTATTTTATTTTTACTCGCATAATGTTTATGAGGCAAACTTTAGTGGAAGAATATTTTTAATTAATTGTAAATGTTAATGATTTCGTTTTAGGAACAACTTCTAAACTAATAACACATGAATTATTAAATCTATTGTTTTAATCATTTTTATTTAAACGTCGATAAATCATTAATATTGTCCGCCAAAAAATATCGGTGTCGCAAATATCGATGTTTCTACACCTCTAGAACTAACGCAGGGCTGCACTATGCGCAGTGGCAGTGTTGGTAAGCTGCGCACTTAAAAATCCCAAGCGCCTGGCGGGTCATGTGACGGCACGTGACGTCACAGCAGATTCAGATTCAGCAATACTTTTCAGTTCCAGGGCAATTTTTCATCGTACTCGCAACGACTTCGCAGGCCAAAATTTTGCGTGTGTGTCGCTCAGTATTGTTTCGTAGCTGAAAAATTGTACGTGCCCACCGTCGTCGCTTACAAAACTCAATAGTGCTAAACAGTTATTACTATTTGCAGCTCGAAATTTGCAGTGCACTTTCAAGGTAGAGGCGCAGAAAAAGTCTATCCAAGATGAACGCCCAACAAGCCCAGCGGGAACATGTCCTCGCCGTCTCCCGAGACTTCATCTCCCAGCCCCGCTTGAGTGAGTAAACTTTCGGAATTTTCCAATAAGTGAAAACGTTGAGAACTGCATTCGAAGCGTAATTAAGTGCCAGATAAAACGAAAGAAAAAGCTAAAAGTCCGCCATGACAGTTTGCACGAATCTGGTGTGAGACGGAGCAGAGAAAAAATCAATAGGTTCTTGCGACACCCACTAAAACACAGAGAATTATTCGGATAGCAAGCTAATTGATTGGAATAGTGAGGAAAATAGTGCTGAATAGATCTCAAGTTTATTAGACAGTCCCGTGGAGCACCCCTATTATCATGGTTAGCGCTTATTGAAAATTTTCGCCGTCACATGACCGTTCGCTGCTCAGCTGTTTGCTTTTGCCATTCAGAGCGCACATTCAAAGGCACCTGACTGCGAACGGGGTGGGTGGCAAAATGGGCAATAGGCCCTCAATTTCCCCCGGATTTTAACTACTATTTATGGAGGGTGTCAATCCAATTGTTATTCAATTTTAACTATTTAGACATTTATATTTTATAGGTTAGCTGTAATCGTAGTATCACTTTAATTGATAGACAAATAATCAAAAGCACTATTATTATAAAAAAAATAATAGTTGCATAGAAAAGGCAGTAAAAAAAAACCAGCTTACGTGATTTTTGCAGTTCGATTAGCTTATTTTTTTGCACTTTATCTAGCCCTGCATTTTGCATTTCCCTTTTGCTATCTATTTCTTATAAGATTTCCACTGCAGCTCGTGGCAAGGGCTAAAAACCAGTTAGACAGTCAGCTGACATAATTTTTCCTCTCACTCGCACCCACACTTGTCTTTTGACGTTTGCTTTCTTATCAGATTCTTACTTTCATGTGAGCATTGCGCGACTCGTGTTATTTGTTGTAACTAAATATAGTTGAAAGCTAAGGAAAGCAATGTGCTACAAATGAATTTAAACTATTTAAGATTTCGTTTTAACACAAATGTAGTACAAAAGAAAAAGTTTATAAAATGAGATAATTACACTTCACTTGAAGTGAAGCCCTATATTATTATTTTGAATTGAAAAAAAGAACACAACTTGCTTTTACAAAAAAAGCCCCTATTTTGTGATTATTTCTGTGGTTCAATTTATCACTTATTGACCATTGTTATGAAACAGCAAAAGCTAAAACCGTTTTTTATTTTCGATGGATTTAATGAAATTTGAGCTGAAAAATATGAATAAGAAGTACCTTCATTAAATGTAAAAGTATAGTAACCAAAAAAGGATTGGCAGGGTTTAATTTCGTTTTATAATTTCTTTACAAAAATCCATATCTTTGTTTAGCCTGGTTTTTCGTTTAATTTTGCACCAAATACCAGCATCTAATAAGAATTGCACATAAGGTCAAATATTTATTCAAATATCCAAAGTTGCAATTAAAATACCTAAATTCCATAAGCTAACAAACTTTGTAAAGAATCGTTTTATAAATAAAATATCATTTACATTTCGTAATAGTAGAAAAATAAAACATCGATTTTGTATGAGAATCTAGCTAAAAATTATCTTTTTATTCTAATTAAAGACTTTAAAATCGTGTATCTCACAAAATCAAATGATCCCACTTAATCATACATATTCAACCACATTATAAAAACATGCTAAATAATCTCCTGAACCTCTTTTTTACCACAGCCTACAAGACGGTGTCCGGTGTGAACGGTCCCCTGGTCATCCTCGATGAGGTCAAGTTCCCCAAGTTCGCCGAGATCGTGCAGCTGCGCCTGGCTGACGGCACCGTGCGCTCCGGCCAGGTGCTCGAGGTGAGCGGCTCCAAGGCCGTGGTGCAGGTGTTCGAGGGCACCTCGGGCATCGATGCCAAGAACACGCTCTGCGAGTTCACCGGCGACATCCTGCGCACGCCCGTGTCCGAGGACATGTTGGGCCGTGTGTTCAACGGATCCGGCAAGCCCATCGACAAGGGACCCCCAATTCTGGCCGAGGACTTCCTGGACATCCAGGGCCAGCCCATCAATCCCTGGTCGCGTATCTATCCCGAGGAGATGATCCAGACCGGTATCTCGGCCATCGATGTGATGAACTCGATTGCCCGTGGCCAGAAGATCCCCATCTTCTCTGCCGCCGGTCTGCCCCACAACGAAATCGCCGCCCAGATCTGTCGTCAGGCCGGTCTCGTCAAGCTGCCCGGCAAGTCTGTGCTGGATGACCACACCGACAACTTCGCCATCGTGTTCGCCGCTATGGGTGTGAACATGGAGACGGCCCGCTTCTTCAAGCAGGACTTCGAGGAGAACGGCTCCATGGAGAACGTGTGCCTGTTCTTGAACTTGGCCAACGATCCGACCATCGAGCGTATCATCACTCCCCGTCTGGCTCTGACCGCCGCCGAATTCTTGGCCTACCAGTGCGAGAAGCACGTGCTGGTCATCCTTACCGACATGTCCTCGTACGCCGAGGCCCTGCGTGAGGTGTCCGCCGCCCGTGAGGAGGTGCCCGGCCGTCGTGGTTTCCCCGGTTACATGTACACCGATTTGGCCACCATCTACGAGCGCGCCGGACGTGTGGAGGGTCGCAACGGCTCCATCACCCAGATCCCCATTCTGACTATGCCCAACGATGATATTACCCATCCCATTCCCGATTTGACCGGTTACATTACCGAGGGCCAGATCTACGTCGACCGTCAGCTGCACAACAGACAGATCTACCCACCAGTCAACGTGCTGCCGTCGCTGTCGCGTCTGATGAAGTCCGCCATCGGCGAGGGCATGACCCGCAAGGATCACTCTGACGTGTCCAACCAGCTGTACGCTTGCTACGCCATCGGCAAGGACGTGCAGGCCATGAAGGCCGTGGTGGGAGAGGAGGCCCTGACGCCCGACGATCTGCTGTATCTGGAGTTCTTGACCAAGTTCGAGAAGAACTTCATCTCGCAGGTGAGTTCGCAGCAGTGTAATGTGTATGTATTTGTTGACTGGATTTAAATCGTACGCTTCTTTGCAGGGCAACTATGAGAACCGCACTGTCTTCGAATCCCTGGACATTGGCTGGCAGCTGCTGCGTATCTTCCCCAAGGAGATGCTCAAGCGTATCCCGGCCTCCATCCTGGCCGAATTCTACCCTAGGGACTCGCGCCATTAGATCCTGTTTATTGTTTTGTTTTTGATTTTTGTCCAAAATTTTGTTTCATTCATAATTTAAGCTGGCGGCGGCGCATCGTGCGGCGCGTCTCCACCTCCTGCAATATCCCGCTGTGTATGCGTCTATATATACATAAACCACAATACAACCACAAAATATCTAAACTACGTTGAGAGCCTGGGTTTGTGTATCTCGGAGCGCCCCAGCGTAGCCAAAACAATAACTAGTTAAATATCGTCCAAGCGAGCAAACCTACTCTAAAGTGTGTTTTAGTATTGAAGTCCCGTCTTGCAATGTACATAAATTGAATTGCTTAATGATTGTCGTTACTCCCGCCAACACACTGTCGTCTAATTTCATTTGTTAAAGTTTACTATTTTTGTTAGGTTTTAAGTGTGTGCTCTTTGAATTGTTTATAATTTGTCTAATCATTTTCGCATAAAGAATCGTAGCATTCCAACAAAAATTAACAATCGCCTATTTGTGTTACTATCGTTTGCTCTTCCGTTTATTTTTCGTTCTTACGTTAGACGTTTCACCAGTTCGCACAAGTATTAAACACTCCCCCCCCGGCCCCTATTTTCCGTACCGCCCCCGCTCCCGTCCCTGCACCAAAACCTTGTGAACAATTTGTACAGCAACTCAACTAAACAATGGAATATTAAGTGCAAAAACAATGCTTTAATGCAAATAATGTTTTAAATGTGGAAATCTACAAAAAGTATAAAGATCTATGAAATACTGTTTGTTTCTTTGTCTCTAAATTAATGAATATTACATAAAGTTGCATAAATTAATATATATTTGTTTGTTGTATCTGGTCACAAGAGTGAAAGGGGAAATGTTCTATGATACGGCCCAATCATTTCAGCAACGACAACTTAATAATCATGAACACATGCCGAAACAATAAATGTTGAAATAATATGTATTTAAAGAAACTAAATAGTTCATGTATATGTATAAATTATAGAACATTTAAATGATGAATAAACTACACACCAAATCATGTTAAATAAAGTCATTCATGTTTATTTCAAGTATGGGAATTTCAA